CTAGTCGTCACCACCCACCGCCAACTTTTGGGCTACTCTTTTACCAACGAATAGTGGGATTGGCCGTCACATTTTAACGCCCTTCCCGGCTGAAGGGGCGAGCATGTTTGGTGTGACGGGGACGCAATAAGGGAAACCATGTACAAAAAATGGTTACTTTTTGCAGATAGCAGACCAATATTGGGCCAACGTTGGCTCACAACTGGTTAAATTACAATTGGGTAGCTAACCCAGATATCAGACCAAGGTTGGGCCAACGCTGACCCGAAAATACCAGTTACTTTCCCCAGGGTTGGCAAACATTGTTGGCTCCAGTTACAGTTTTAGGAAGATGAACAATGTTGGCTCCAGTTACAGTTTTAAGTAGATGAACAATGTTGACTCCAGTTACAGTTTTAGGAAGATGAACAATGTTGACTCCAGTTACAGTTTTAGGAAGATGAACAATGTTGACTCCAGTTACAGTTTTAGGAAGATGAACAATGTTGGCTCCAGTTACAGTTTTAGGAAGATGAACAATGTTGGCTCCAGTTACAGTTTTAGGAAGATGAACAATGTTGGCTCCAGTTACAGTTTTAGGTAGGTGAACAATGTTGGCTCCAGTTACAGTTTTAGGAAGATGAACAATGTTGGCTCCAGTTACAGTTTTAGGTAGGTGAACAATGTTGGCTCCAGTTACAGTTTTAGGAAGATGAACAATGTTGGCTCCAGTTACAGTTTTAGGTAGATGAACAATGTTGGCCCCAGTTACAGTTTTAGGTAGATGAACAATGTTGGCCCCAGTTACAGTTTTAGGTAGATGAACAATGTTGGCCCCAGTTACAGTTTTAGGTAGATGAACAATGTTGGCTCCAGTTACAGTTTTAGGTAGATGAACAACGTTGGCTCCAGTTACAGTTTTAGGTAGATGAACAACGTTTGCTCCAGTTACAGTTTTAGGTAGATGAACAATGTTGGCTCCAGTTACAGTTTTAGGTAGATATCACTGTTCTGCAACACTCCAAACGCTTTGTCATCTGACGTGCTTGATATAGCTCTTAAACTAATGAAATAATACAACTATAGATTGATAACATATCTGTACGTTTTTCTGTGCTAAATTAACAGATGGACTGGGGGGTAGCAGACATTTGTAGTAGTAGATAATATACGAGTTTATTATCATGATGGCTTGACATCTGATATTCACGGCGAGTACTGCATATTGGGCCAATGGTTAAATTGTGGATTTTGAAGCTGGTGAGCCGGGTTCGAATCCGTACGATACCACAAAATATTTTCCGTTCTCCGAAAGCGTGGTTGCGTTACAAGAAGTATGGTCAAATCTCACTATTCGATCGGACAAGAGTAGCTTTGCACAAATTTCAACCCAAGTAAAAGTCTTGGGTAATATTTTATTTACAGTTGATCAAATGACAACATTTCAACAAACCAGTGAACACCCAAAAAATAGGATCATATGTTAACAAAGTGTACGTTTACATTGAGCCAACATTAAACCATCCTGTGGCTGCTATTTGTGTAATTAATATCAAAGATTGGAATACTTTTGACGTCAAGTTGATGGTTTAGCCAACGTTGGGCCAAGAAACAAAAAGCACTGGCTCAACGTAATGATTTTTACCATCAGATTATAAAGTTTTATGCTGTCATTTTGACACAACGTTGAATTTGCACATACCGCTAATACTCCATTTAAAAGTTTGCGCTTTTTATCTCTTACGATAATTTTTTTTTTGCAAAGAACGTGGCGTTGTTATTCTTGTCCTAACATAGACGTAGAATGCATAAATTTTGTTAACCCTGAATTAGCTAACAAAGTTAACTAAAAATGCAAATTTTTTCAATGCAGATTTTTATCAAGCACTTACAACTTTAGAGCAAAAAAGATAAAAACATTTATTATCTACTACCAGTATCAATCTCAACAAAGATCCCGCCCTGCTCCTGATGTCTTCTCCAACACTTGTTTGTGATGTCCTCCCCAACACTTGTTTGAATCCTTTTCGATCTTCCCTGATGTCCTTCCCAACACTTGTTTGAATCCTTTTCGATCTTCCATTAATTTCTTCTGAAACATCAATACTACTTTTACTTCAACTATAAAAGATGGTTTTGAATTCACATCTGATCCATCATCGCTGTTGAAGTACATAGATAAGCCTTCTAGATGGACACCAGTGTCAGGATGGTATCCTTCTATTAATTGATCCCCCCCCTCCAACACGTTGTGAGTAAATGTATTACATAAATTTCTCAATTCAAGCAGCTTTTAACATCTTTACCAGGGATAAACGAGAAGCCATCAGTTAATAAAAAAAAAAAAAGATCGCACGTTCTTATAAAACCTGCAGGTAAAGGAAGTGACACTGTGGTCTGATCCTCTGGCCTTTTCCTGGCCGAAGTTGGAAGACTTTTGTCTGGCATTTCTTTTTTGTCAGCTTGTGTTTGATTAAGATTCATTCACCATTTATAAATCGTTGTTTGTGACAATATCAACAGCCTTATCCAAGGAGGAAACTGAGTCCTGAAGGACTCCATCTACTGATGGCTGTTTTTGGTGTTCTTCCTAAAATTCATACTCCAAACAGTTCTGAAAGACCCATCACTGCCATCGTTCGAACCCTCTCCACTCACAATAAAGATTCCCGCCATGCTACTCAGTTGACGAATAACATTCATCTTCCAAACAATTCTTCCATCGTCCTTTTCAGAAGTGCCACTAAGTCTGGACGCAGTGATCCATCATCATGATGATCCACAAGTTTTAAAGCATTTTATAAACACCCTTCACCATTTACTCTTCGTATGTCAACATTTATAGTTTTTCTGTAGTGAGAGAATAATTATTTCATCTCTAAGTCTTAAAAAATTATTGCCTTCTTCCCTTCATTCAGTTATCTAACTCTCATAAATAAAGACCTTCACAAAGCCAACAGTACACCCTGGAGCCAGATCTTTACTTAACAAACTCCACATGCAAAATAAAACCTTTACTTGAGACTTCAATACCACCATAAATAATGTTTCTATTTTTTCAAACAAGGTCATCCACTGAATATATTTTATTGAAATACTTACGATGGCATTTATACACAGCCATCGCCTACGAAATTTGCTGGTTCGCTCCAGTTAGACAACAACAGTATTCCCTCAGTCACACCTCCAGAGTGTTTTCCTTGTAAACGGTCAAGCTGCGCGACTTGTCACCAGGTGTATAGTTGTATTTAGCTTGTCGGACGTGAAGGTCGTTTTCGGGTTTAAAAGACTATTACGTGTCTATGGAGCCGGTCATGTACCGCATAACTTGTAATTCTTCCAAAGTCAGCGAGAGATTTCATTACCTTGTAAGAGTGTTGTTAACGGTAATATCGACAGTTTTTCGATGATAAACAATATTTTATATCTTAAGATCTGCTCCAGCTGAGCGTTCCTCACGTTAACGCGGTTTTCTTTAACGTTTCCTTCTGACAATTTTTACACTCGTCTACTGTGACACAAATGTTACACTCGTGCTCTCGTTTCTTAAATCAGTAGTTTAATACCTGTAAAAAAAAAAAAAGGAATCATTTATTGAGTTTTCTTCCTTTTATTCCGAATTATCTTGATGTATTTTTTTCCCGTTATTTTCTTTGAGCAATAGATTATTTGTCTGCATTTTTCTATATTTTTACACCAACAAAACAATGTTGCCTCCAGTGGCTCAGCGGCAAGTTTGCTTACAACAATAAAAACTGGATTTCGATACCCGTGGCGGGCACGGCACAATGGCCCATTGTGTAGCTTCGTGCTTAACAACAAACACGTCAATGGTTTCCATATATTTATGTACACGCGATTCGATTTGTCTATTTCTTCAATCTCTTATTGTCGTCTCCAGATTGTTGTTGTAGTTTTTTCTTCTATTACATTAAACTATCTATGTAGAACTTTTAGTTCATCCTAAACGTGTAAAATATTGTGTCTTAAATCTGTAGACAAAACAAGGCCGGTAAGGGCTAACTACAAAAACCCTGTAATCACGTGTTTTTGGTATACCATCAATGTAAACTACAAGGAATTGCTATTTTGTTTGTTTTTATAGAGTGCTGCCCTCTACGCACTTGCTCAGGTAGCGGACTTCTTAGAAGAAAATGCTGTTAGAAAAATGATTCTTCCACGAACCAAACAGGTGTTTGATAGCCACAGCGGAACAAAGGTAAAACGTTTATCATTTGTGTATGTTGCTGAACTGTCTGACAGACATAGATAATAGATACTAAATGGGTAGAATGGACACATGGTTATCTCTTGGTTGGTTAGTTTTGGGAAGGACTATTTCATTCCTTTTGTGATGTTTATTTGCTGGAATCTTTTGTTATCATTGTTACAAGTTAAATATAATGGTCTCTTTTAACATCGATGTTTTGTGTTTATTTTATTTTTTATGGTACTCTAATATTCCTCATTTTATTTTACACACCCATCTGTTCGAGCATCGAAAAAAATCACACAAAAACAACCACATTTGAAAACTTGAAATAAAAATAAATCTTTACACATAAATTTAAAGCCCAGCCAACGGGTAGACATCAGTAAAAAACTATCCTCATGTGGGATGTATAAAAAAGAAAAACTATCCTCGTGTGGGATGTATAAAAAAGAAAAACTATCCTCATGTGGGATGTATAAAAAAGAAAACTATCCTCATGTGGGATGTATAAAAAAAACTATCCTCATGTGGGATGTATATAAAAAAAACTATCCTCATGTGGGATGTATATAAAAAAAACTATCCTCATGTGGGATGTATATAAAAAAAACTATCCTCATGTGGGATGTATATAAAAAAAACTATCCTCGTGTGGGATGTATATAAAAAAAAACTATCCTCGTGTGGGATGTATAAAAAAAACTATCCT